GGGATAGAGGAGCTAATAAATCATGGTTATCTCAAAAAATCTATGTTTAAGGTGTTTTTAGCATATTTGACATGAGCAAAGAAAAGCATGTGAGTACTCCATTGGCGAATCATTTTGAACTCTCTTTGGAACAATGTCTGGTGAAAGAAGAATATATTGAAGGTATGTCTAAAATTTCTTATGTCAGTGCATTTGGTTGTTTTATGTATGCTATGGTTTGCACTAGACCAAATTTTGCACAAGCAATTAGTCAAGTATGAAAGTTTATGTCCAAGCCAGAGAAGCAACATTGGGAATCACTCAGGTGGATTCTAAGGTACTTTAAGGGTACAACGGATCATGGTATCATGTTCGGCATGAAGCATGGTGTTTCATCAGTTGTATGATATGTAGATTTTGATTGTGCTGGTGATATGGATGATATGAGGTATACTACACGATGTGTCTTTACCCTTACGGGGGACCTATATGCTGAAAATCAGCAGTTCAATCCATAATAGCTATGTCTACAATAAGGCAGAATACATTGCAATAACTGAAGCTGCCAAAGAAGAATTATGGCTTCCAAGGTAAGTGAAAGAGTTAGGTGTTGAGGAAGGTGGAGTTAAATTGAACTATGATAGTCAGAGTTCTATATATTTGGCGAACAATTAGGTGTATCATGCTAGAACTATGCATATTGATATGAGTTTCCACAATATCAAAGAGTTTTTAGCGTCCAGACATATTTTACTTCAAAAAGTTCACACTTCTACAATGTGATGATATGTTGACCAAGATAGTCACCAGTGACAAATTCGAATAATGTTTGGACTTGTTACATGTTTCTTAGTGTTAAGAAGGAGGTGTACATCCCCAATTTCCAAGATGGATCGTTATGCAAGAAGTCTTCATAGGGGTTTGATATTCGCCAAGGTGGAGATTGTTGAGTATGGCTCATATTGTTGAGATGATTATGGATTATTGAGATAACTATGGATTGTTGAGAGTATAACTCATATTTTTGAGATAGTTATAGGTTGTTGAGATAACTCTAAGTTTTTGAGAGTATAGCTCATATTGTTGAGATAATTATGGATAGAGATAATTGTTTGTTAAGGAAAACTAGAGATTAGGGTTTTAGATAAACTAAAACATGTTATTATATATATGACATGTAACACTATAATTAAATCAATTCACAAGATATAAATAAAGGGAACTATAGATATTCTATAGTCGCAGAGGTAAGCATCATTTGTTAAATTGCGTGAACATAATTTTTGTGTATTTCTCGCTACCCTAATATGTATTTGTGTTACTTTTCAAACAAAGGTTATGATAAGAAAATCGAAGCAATGATACTTTAATATTTTTGTGTATTTATTAGTTTGTATGTTTAATGTAGGAGTAATTTAGTTTATTTATAGTTTATGTATTAAATCTACTTTTTCTAATGTATTTAAGCATAAGGAATATATGTTTGGTGATCATATGATCCTTGATTTTTTATAGGTTATTTCTTGGATACTCCTTGTTAAAATGAGATAATTTATCTCAAGGGAAGTGTATTAATGAAATCTTGCCGCATAAATTAAATATTTATAAGATTTTTTAATCATAGGTAACTTTTAACTAATGTAAATTTTAACTAATTAGATTTTAAGTTTTTTATTTTGATAAATTTACATTTTAGTTCTTCTTTTTATTGAGAGTATTAATGTTCATGAGTTGTATTATTTTTGTGTTACTCTTATCTCTCATATTCTCTGTTGTTGTTTTTTACATAATTCCTACCTTCAATGTGTTTCTCTATATTTGAGATCCTTCGTTCGATCTATTTTCTCACATCTTACTTCTTCTGCTAGTTTTGACGTGTAAGAAACACCCAATTTTTAATTAATTTATGATCTTATCGGTTGATCAGAACTTGAGAAATAGTCAGAAGATGATTTGCAGTCGGGCTGTGGAGTCCAGGAGAAAAAGGGGTTGTACCTGCAAGACACTCCGACGATCAAGTAAGAGTGGGAACAAGGAGGTACAAGCAAAGTATTAAGTGGTGAATAGTAAATATTCGATACCTGACATTCACATGTGTGAGGGTAAATATAATGCCCATGATGCATGGCCATTGGTTCCTGATTTCACACCTAGATGTGTGGGTCTGTGAAATCAGGTAACTGCCAGTACTTGGTCAAATCGGGAAGATATGCTCGTAACTAGTCGTTGGTCCCGAGGAGGGGGTTAGTTGTGGGCATCTCTCTGGTCGGTTCCTGGTGGCCTGCACGACGTTGATGTCAGGCAAGCTGAGAGGATACTCATCAATCATCTTGGGCTAGTACTGGTTGGGGAGTGCAACAAATGTCATTTCCCGATAGGTAGCGGGTAATCTGGGTCACGGTCGTGCAGGCCGTACCAAAGGAGATATCTTGGATCGGGCTCAGTCAAGCTGTCGGGTCAATCCAAAACAGTAGCCCCCCAAGTCATTGATTTTGGGCACAAGAGTGATGACTTTAACATCTACTCGAGGAATGGGACGTGTTCGACGGTGAAATGAGTATTTCCTGTTAAGCCTTGCTTGCGAGCAAGCGAGACGTTGGTCGTTAGAACTTTTGAATTTGGAGAGGTAGTGTGTTTTAGGAAGCGTGCTAGTGAACTGGCGTAATGATGACCTAGGGCTAGGGTGTAATGATGACGACCCCCAGGTGCGTGTTTTGTACGCGCGAATTATCTCAACTATAAATACGAGAGGAATAGGGCGTTTAGTATTTTTCGCATTCTCTCTCAACTGATCGTATTAGCTCGACAGTCGGTTGTAATACCCCAAAATTTTCCTACCTTCTTACTTTTATCTGGCTTATGCATTTAACACTTTTCATTCCATCTGCATACCCTCCATTAGGCATGTGATTGAGGATATTAAGGAATTAGGGTTTCTTCATGCTTTTAGGCTATCATCTTTATGCAAGCTAGGATCAACATGGTTCTTCGTCAATCAGGGTTTGAGGGATTAAAGTTTGTATTTATGGTCGTTGGGAATTTCCTCTTTTATCAAGATACTCATTTTTCATCAAAAGACAAATCCACCTTTTCAAGTTACTTCAGTGAGCAAACATATTAGGGTTGTGAGTTATTAGGGTTTACATTTCATCATGTTTGAGTTTTCTAAATTCAATTGAAGATTAATTAGGCTCCAGGCATCACTCTTTCTAATACTGGTTGCTTGGCGTACAAATTTGATATGAATTAGAAGATGGAAATGAGTTAAGGATTCATTGAAGATGCAAGTGGATTTGGTGTAAGAATTAGATTCCAAAGGGGTTATGTCATTACTTGGATTGCAAGCCATTATGCAAGGGATGGAATATGACTGAATCAAGTCGCTATGGATGAAGACTTTACTTACAAGGGAGTCACACATTTGAATTAGGGTTCTATTATTGGTGGCACAAGGTAGTGGTGGGCCTAATACACCATGTCACTCAGGACCGGTGTTTCCTCATTGATTATGAAGGTCTTTATTTCAAGTTCAAGCATGGCTACTTATGTTTCTATACATCACAAGGGGAGCATGCGGAAACAATATTTAACGAAGTCTTGTGGAAGTCTCTTTCATTCTTACCATGGAGTGTTTGGCATTACACGAATAAGGGAATCATGATTATGCTTGGCATTTACACCATTAAAGGAGTATTCAAAGTTAAATTCCATGGAAAATATAAAAGACAATACTTTGAGCGCTTGAGAAAATTAATATTGAATTCAAGAGACTTCGTGCTCCTAATTTCATCACACTACCGAACTGTCAACAGAGTTCAATTTGAAAGAAAAGAAAGAAATAGGTAAAGCTTATCCATTAGAGTCCAAGTTCCATACAAGAGTTATTCAAGAAGAAGTACACAATTTAAAAGAAGCTTTTATAAGGAAAGGATTACAAGATATTATCCTACAAAATCAGAACAACAAATTGTTAAACATCATATATAACTTCATGATTCTTCCATAGTCTTCATGCCCCTGACTTTTATCCTCTTGATCAAATTTTCATCTTCAAGACAAAGCTTCTACTTGCTTCAATGATATTCCAATTTTCCAATGACTTGAATATTAATTCACATAAACTGCATCAGTAAACAAAAACCAGCCCCTACATTAACATAACATTCGGCCTGCAGGAAATCGAGAAGGGATTAAGTCAAAAATACAACTAAAAAAACTAACTGCAACAACTTTCCAGCTCAGGGTAATTTCTTATAACAGAATCCTAAAGCAGTTACGAACAAAATTATAACAAAAATTCAGAGGGAAAATAAAAGTAATTTTCTAACCGCTTCTAGCTGAATTCCTTAACCATTTCCTAACTGTTCCTAACCTTTCTAATTAACCTTAAAAAAAACATCCAGCTAAGTTTTCATAACCACCAAACAGAATTCCAACAGGTTTCATAACCAACTAATTGTGACCAAACCGTAACTAACCATAACTCTCATCCTCTAACCATCACCAATCTAACAGAATTATAAAAAAGGAATACAGGAAATTATCTTGAGGGATTTCATTCTTCGAATCTGCAGAGGAATCACTAAAAAATCTGATAACAGAATTCTCTCGCCCTCTTCACCACACTCTCCCAATATTCATCCCCCATCACCAAGAAAATATGCATTATCTCTCTCTATCTCTGAAAGTTGTTTCAATCATCTGCAACCTATCAATTCGGCATTGCATCAGCATCATCAATTTCATATATCAGTTCTAAAAATTACACATGCATCTTACTGCTCTGTTGCGTATCGGCATCATTCATCGCATCTTCTTAAATCTTCACTTCAACCTTAATCCTTCATCATCTTCAATCCTTTTACAACTTCACAGTTTTGAAAATTGCAAAGAACACAGCAACACAGAACCCACAGTGTAATGCTGAGAAGAAGAACAAGAAGAGCAAACAAATCAGAAGAGAAAGAATTATCGGGTTTTTTCGATTGCATCATCGGGTTGTTATCCAATTTCATGGTTTCCTAGATCCGGGCTGTGATATTGAGAATGAGTTGAAGAGTGAGGCATCGGTGTGGTTCGTTGGAACTCGAAGAAGCACGAACAAAGAATATTCGCAGCGATCTTTGTTGTGATGATGGTGGTTGTAGATCGTTGACACTCATTAGAGGATAAGGTTGAATAAGAAGGGAGCCACATCTGATTGAGCAGAAAGAAAAGAAGATGCCGCTCATGGTGGATCCGCGATTGAAGCATGATTGAAACGGTAGTGGCATACGATTTCCGCCAGAGAGGCATAGAGAAGCGATTAAGCGCTGCGAGGTAGAAGAGGGAGTTTGATCAAAGAAGTTGAATTGGTGCAGTATAGTATCCGAACACCCCTTGTAACCTTAATTTCCAAGCATCACCGTTTTGTTATATTTCTTTTATATATATTATTATTATTCATTTTGACGTTTAAATGTAATTTGGTAATTCAATTTTAATGTTGAACAAATAACATTGTTGAAATGGTGTGAGTGGGCTGGATTTCAATCCTTGAGGCCCGTTAGCATTTTTTTTAGGGGTGGCTATTGGCTGTACAAAAAAAAAATTAATATAGTGGGCTCAATTTTAATGGGCCCAGTGCCCAGAGTTTCATTGATAGGTTATACACGTGCATGCAATTATACACTCCCTCGGTATCATTTATTTTCTCTATTTTTCTTACTTATTTCAACATTTTTTATCAATTATTTTGTGTGATATTATTGGACAAAAGGGACTTAGATGAAGTTTTCAAGAAGTTTATAAGCTATCTAAGAGCATAATTTTCATCAAAAGAAATCGAGGAAGCTTTTAGTAGAGTTTTCTTATGGCTTGCGTGGTTTTGAAGAGGCAATAAACCTTCTCCATTCGGTATCATCGCAACTTCATTTTATTCCTTATTTCCATGCATTACCGCATTTCTTTATTGCTTTTCTAGAGATCATGAAAAGTAGGATTTTACTGCTTTCTGATGCCATGAGAAGTAGGGTAGAGATGTATGACGGCGGTCTCTATTGCTGATCATGTCAGGAACCCCTCTGGTTTATTTAAAGACCCGTTTAGAGAAATTCCGCATTATGTGCATTCTGTTTTCTACTTATGTGTGGTTTGTTTAAAACCCTACCTTTGAGTAGGTATTTTACAGGTGTGTTTGCATTTTGTGCCCGCATTCTTCCCCCATCCCTTATTGAAGTCCTCAAAAGAAGGCAAGCAGGGAGGGTTAGAAATCAACCCCCGCAATGTCGTTCGTGTCATCATTAGCTCGTGACGCACCATGAAGCTTCAGAGTTGTGCCTGCTCTTGTTATCGAATCGTCAAGTGGGGAAAGGTTCTGCAATCGAACCCCCACGCTTTGTCAAGAGTTTGCATTGGCCGATGCTGATACTCCGTGATCGTTCATATCGCCTTCTGTCGTCTACCTAGATCTCGTATATCTTGGTTAGGTGTTCATTCGCTTTGGACATCACCTTTTTGCTTTTACATCTCACACCCACTTGTTTGTCTTGGGTGATACGCTCCCCTTGGCTAAAGCATTTATCTTCTTTTCCTTACTCTTTTATATGTGTGCTTCTTCAAGCTTGCTTGCTATATCCTTGTACATACCATGTTCCCTTAGGATGCGCTTGCTCCCTTCGGACGCAAGTTAGACCTTAGGTTTTAAGCCATGCATGCTAACATTAGGTAGACGTTTCCCTTTTGTTAATCCAAATCTTAGGACCACCATTGCATGATAACATTAGGTTAGAAATAGGCTAGTCTCTCTTAGACTCTTTTCTTCCTTTTGCATATGCATCTAAAACTAAAACCTTTTCTTTAGCAAATCACAAAACATGCTAATAGCACTTAAACCCTTTTTTAAGGTAACAAAAATACAAACCAACTCAAACCCTTTTTATGCGCTCAAGCACCTTTTCTCTAAAACCCTGTTTAGGTAAGGACATGATTAATTTACTTTTGTGCCAATGCATAAGTCTCCAAAGGTTGAGCTGCGGCAGAAGGCGAAATTAACATTGTCCATAAAAACATAAAACAAACAAAAACATGTGAGAAGAACTACGGTAGCTCTGATTCCTCAAAAAGGATACGTAGGCATTGGGGTAGTGCCCAAGTGAGTACAGTTTTATTTTCCCTACATTCTTTTCTCCTTTCTTTCGCATGCATTCCTTCTCAGTAGTAAATAGTAATAATAATTTAAACACACCTATAAGATAGATAACAAGAGTGGATAACGTAGAGTACTACAGGCGTGTGAGGTGCTAATACCTTTCCCTCGTGTAACAGACTCCCTTACCCGATCTCTCGGTTGCAATACCATGACTTCTCCCTTCTCAGGTTTTCTCGATGTTTATCTTTCCCTTCATATGGGATAAAATACGTTCGATGGCAACTTCATTGTTTGATGATTTTCAGCCGGTTGTTTCAGCTGGTGACTTCACTGGGGACAGGTCGACCAAATGCTGGTCCATCCCGGAGTCGCTCCTAGATCTTGCTTTCTTTTCTTTGGGTGTTTATTTTTATGCTTTCTGTTTATTCATTCATATATGTTTACCTGAGCATATGTATGCATTTCATTTTACTGTCTTCCGTATACTATTGTTGTACTAGACCTGCTTCTTATTGGGTGGGTGTTACTATGAGGTAAAAGGCCCAATACCCAGGCCAAGTGACAACCATAGGAACCTTAGGAATATAGTGGAACACGGAGGATAGGGGATGTAGATTGCCATAGACGGCAGTGTCGTTCATGCTCAGATAAGGTTTCAATGAGGTGTTATCATTATCACGTAGGTGTACGATAATAATACTCTCAAGCAAACCCGTGATTTTGAGTTACCATTGCCTTACCCTGACCTAGTCTTCACCCATGAGTGAGGCAGGAATATTATTATCACAGGTATAGATGGTGACTATGATCAGACAATGATTATTTATTCTATAGGTTATGTTCTATATTTTTGTTGATGACTTATTCAGATGCTATATTTTGTTGGTGACGATATGGTTCTCAGATTTATTTTCTAAGTTCCTGACTTGTTTATTTGGAGGTACATTTGAGCCTTCGATCTTGGTATTACCAGCATGTTCAGAAAAGACTCAACAGTATCCTGTTCCAGAAGCCTTAATCCTGTACAATGGAAGATCTACATGGTACTTGGTTCTTATATGTGTGAAAGTTATGCCAGACCTTTGATCTGGTAATATTCATATGGTTCAGAAGCAGTGGAGAAATCATATTCAGAAATGATGGAACATTGATCCCACTTGATCCCATGTCTTTGCATAGATAACATGGTTACCACATGCTTAACATACATGTTCCGTTATTTCTAGGGAATCATATTTGTAAGCCTTGTGTTGAACTTTTCCATCCCTTACTTGCATAAAATCAAAATCAAAGCACATAAATTCCTTGAAAATGATAGAACATGACATGGAATCCATTCATGAACCCCATGCATATTCATGCATTCATAACAGATACTCAAATTGGGGATTCTTATTCAGACGTGGTGCTCTCTTCATAGGTTCAAACTTGATTTCTTACTGCACATGTTCGAAGATCAGTATGGGATAACTCTATGGGGATTGACCGATACGAAGATCCTGATGGGATTGATTGTGGTATACATGCAAGCTTTGGCCTGTGGTCGAAAATTCTTCGAGAAGGAAGATAATCAATTAAAGACTCAATGAGCCAGGTCATGAAAGCTCTAATGATGATGTCAACAATCTTGCACCTACTATCGCAACATAGGTTCTCTCTTCTCCTCATCTTTTGGGGACTACTTTCAACCATTGAGTGCTACACAATCTTGAGTTCTTGGAACATCTTATCAGCAGATGGTTCCCATTTACTATGATATCTTATATTAGTGTTTCATTCTTGTTGACCAATGTCATATGTGGTTGCCACACTGGGGCATTAGACTTTTTAATCAGGGGCACTCTCCATAACTTTGTGTTCCCTCATTTGTTCGACAACATCCAGTCTTTATTCCCCAAGTGAATTCATGGGGCGAAGTTTTTAAGAAAATTCGAAAGAAGCCTGATAAGCATGTTGATGTGATCCCAGTGCATTACATCCAGTTATTCCCTAGCCTAGTGGAAGTGCAATTGGTAAAGCTATGATCTTTGGGGTCCTCCTCCTACAAACATCTCTTCTGATCACGATACATATGCTAGATGTATCCCCTATTCTAGGGAACCCGATTTTGATATTGAAAATTAAAAGGGGTTGAAGTATAAATCCCAACACATGTCTGGCGTCTCTTTCAAAGGTCCAATTCTTATTTGTCAAACTGTCGGACTCTTTCTCACCAGGTGGATGCTTTTGTTGTAACAAAAGACGAACTATATTATTTCTATATGGCGTAATATGCTTAGTGATGCAGTTTATACTGATTCGCTTGATAAAGCATTCATTCGCTCTCCTAAAAGAATCTTATATGCATATTATTCTAGGAAACCTGGCCATCCAATTGAAGAGGGTATGCCATCTAGAGACAATGTCCAAGACAAGATCAATTCAAAGACTATTGTGCACATCAGATCAGAAGGGGAATTCTCTCACCTATTCAAACATCAAGATTACAGAAAGTCGTCATAATCAAGAAATCCATATGGAGTCAAGTCTCCTCAACGATGACAATCATTGGTTTCTTTATTTCATTTTTACTTTCATTCTTGCTTGTTTGTTTAAACACTACTTGCATGTAGAAACTTTCTATTTTTGAATGAAAATCTTAATGCAATAAGTATGCTTGCCTTGAAGTGCTCCTTTTGTTTTTATTGATTCATTCGTTATAACTCTTTAAATGTTTTACTTGCATATTGATGCCAAGTCTCGAAGTCTTATGCTTAGGTAAAAATTTGAAGGAGGATGACAATGATCTAAAAACACAAAAAATCTATGGTTGGTACGCTTTTGAGTAAGACCCTACTGACGATGTACATGCCTTGTTTCAATTCCTAAACACCAGAGATATAAGGGAGATATACCCTCGTTAACCCCTCCGAGCCTTCGAAGTAGGAGTTCCTTTTCTGTTCAGAAAAACCCTCATTTTAACCTTGGGTGGATAATGTTTAGTTAATCTAATCAGGCATTCAGAACTCGTCGAGAGTGTGCATCAAAAGGTTGAGGAAAGTCAAAACCATAATGGTTAACCCTCATCTATTATCAATGTGCGTAAATTAACGACATCCTAAT